GTTGCAGAGGCGGAAGAAGCGTTAAAGTAACTGTTCACTGGCTGAGATACAGCACCCAAAAAAGACTTCTGAAGCACTGCAATATAGTGAGAGAGCGTTAAATAACCTCAAGAAACCCCCCCTCCTTTCTCTTCTCAAGCCAAATGATCCCAGTGCCTTATGTCCTAAAGGGCTAAATTCTTAGGGAGAGATGAATTAGAGAATTTTATGAATTAGAGAAGTTCCATATTATAAAAAAAAAAAAAACAATCAAACAAAGAAAAAAACATACCACCACTTTTCCAGGTTTTCTCTATTTTTTGTTTGTTTGTTTTTTCTTAATCCCTGCGGTGCCGATTGCCACATGTTTCCAGAATTTTCATGGGTATCATGCTCCCATGGAAGAGTAGAAATACACAATAATTATCATTCTCAATTCCAAAGAATCATTAAGGCAGAAGTCTGGAGAAACAATCCTTCAAAACAATATTTTAAATAGGTGATGGCTCTTAGTCCTTGATAAATACTGAAGACGAATATATAACCAAAAAGCATTTGTTTTCCATCTGTCCTCATGAGATCGACAGAAGGGCTTCAACAGAAAAATAAAATATTGGGGTGCAAAAAGCAAGGAAAAGCTAAAATCACCTGTTATAAAAGGGAAAAGAAAATAAGAAAATACACCCCCTTGTTTTTAAGCCATATCTAGTAAGAAAAATGAACAAATAACATCCACAAAATATATTGAAAAAAATTTTGAACTAAAATGATAACCTTCATATTAACCAGGAAGAGTTATGTCCAGAACTAATCAATTTTAAAGACAACTACCTGAAAATAGTTCCCACCACGTGGAAATATTAGGCACCTAGTGCTGTACACAGCTGTCAACTACAATTTTGTTTGTATTTAAACAATCTCCAAGAAAAGTGGGCTTTCAATTATGACAGCTCTAATTCCAGTTCTTTCCAGTGGCAAAGACAGAATATTTATATAAAACAGTATGTGATATTGCCTTACACATGAAGAAAGGAAGCTTTTATTCTCCCTTCAAATATTACGCTAACATTCATTTACAGTTACAAAACATCTAAATTGGTCTTTCACAAGAGGTACATGAACATCTGCCTCTATAAACATACGCCTTTCAAGCTGTAACCAAAGCTTCTGAAGGCATTGCTTTAAATACGCCTGCCGGGCTAACTACTTCTTGCACCTTAATTTCTTTCTCTTCATTTTATTTATTTATTTATTTATTTTCACTTTGCATAAGGAACAGGTGAAGTCAAGCGAAAACCTGATCAGCAGTACAAAGTTGTAACAAGTTAAAATATCTATAATATGCAAATTGGTCATAAGGACTTGTTTCTGTTTTTTTTTGGCACATATATTCATGAAGTAGTATATATACTATGTATATATACATATAGTATATATATACATATATAATATATATAGTAGTATATATGTGTATATATGTAACTATATACATAGATATAAAAGCTGTAACTATATAAAATAAATTTTATTTACAACTAACAATTGCTCTGATGATTTTAATTATTCTCTCCCAAGCAAGCTGCACAACCAGTTCCATTGTGAGGCAGGTCATGTACCCAGCAATTTTTCCTCATGTTGCAATTATTTTCATATCACGCTAAAGTCTGTATGACCACATTCACTTCCACATGCTCAAGAGTACACGAAACTCTGTCAAATTACAACCAATCACTGGGTAAAGCAGCATCCATAGATGAGTATACAGTACTTCTTACCATTTATCTTGAACAAAGGTTATTGTTACCACTACAAATGTACCAAATGGAAACACATTTTGGTTCTTATGACTGCCTTCACCAGAGTTCTTTCATATCTTTCATAAAACAGTGCATGGACATGCTCACGCTACAAAAGGCATTAGCTCAAGCCATAACAACCTTCCAGTTTTCTTGGTCCCCAAAGTAACGCACTGACCAACTGACCTCTGCTTTTGTTTAAAACCGCAGAAAACTAGGAACACTGTCTAGAAATTTTTTACATGTTTTTAGGACTAACCTCAGCATTCTTATATGATAGCTCAAGCAATCAGTAGCCTATGTAGAAGTATACAAAAGCTCAAGTGTTTAAAAAAAAAAAATACGTAAAAAAAGATTTTCTATTTCCATTTATGGCACCAACACTGTTTTCACATTGACAGTATCTTCTCTTTAATTTTTCATGGGAGCAATAATGGCTCAAAATACTTTATTTGGTTTTGTTTTGTTTTGAGAGAAGAGACAGCAACAGAAGAATACTATTATGGAAATCTCTCAATATTAAAATGTCTTATCTCGCCACCCTGTTTATACCCTCAAGTCATTCTTCCCATGGGCAACCAGTATCTGCAGATAGCGTGAGCCAACCCAGCTTCCCAAAGCACTCTCTTCCAGTTTAAAAAAAATAAATAATCCATCAAAGCAAATCTTTCACAGGCAGGGGAGCCAGGAGTGCACTGCCCATGGCTTTGGTTTCATGGGATCCAGGCAGAATTAGAATCAGCTGAGCCCATGGGAGCGCAGCACAGCCGCGAGACAGGACATCTGTCCCACCCCCAGATGCTGGGAGCTGAGGCTATTTCTTTGATCTTTGCTAGTCTGAACCCAGCTTAGCCTTCAGCCGTCAGGTAGCAGACGCCGGTGAGTCACTTCCTAGGCAGGGTAGGAAGGGTGAGAACAGGAGGGGACTGGGCTAAACTCATGATTAATTCGATTTTCAAACCACAGAGCAGTCATCTCTGCACCCAATCAGACAAGTTACTGCCTGAATGGGACACACCTGCTATTCCTTTCTGATATCTGATATTAGCCCTGCCCATCAGTTTACAATGGTGGGAGAAAGTGGGTCAAACCCCTACACTGATGGTTACCTGCAGGGGTGACTCAGTAGGATCCTGGAGAGTGCATTTCCAAATGACCTGCTTGCCTTGTTGAGAACCCGAAAAGCAAATGACACACTCGACATGATGCATGATTCTTCTGATGAGCTGGTATAATACCTTTGTTTCATCAAGAATCTCTTAATGCCAACTTTACAAGTTTCACTGGAGAAGATGCCTCAGGCATGAGCCACGCCACAAGACATTCCTTTCTTCAGAGGCTGAGCAAAAGGAATCCCCTATTAAGGGCAGCTAGGACCAAAGTACGGAAGGACAACAGACAAAACAAGAAACAACAAGCAAGGCTGAAACTGTATCCTCTCAGAAAGGAAAGTGCTCAAACAACTACCTAACTACATGTCATGTAGAGCTGGAAACAACCACCACCACCCTGGAGAACTAGACATTAATCAGACCTACAGCCATGTCATCTCTTATTTTTGCACTCTGAGAGGGGCGTTCCTTTCAATAAAGGCAGTGTAATATGTCAGAAAAGGTAATAACTGGTGAAATTATACTGTTATGGGACTTAACACTCACTGAAGAACTTTGCACTGCTGAAGGAGGGCACAAACAGGGTACAACAGGCTGTTATTTTCTTTGATAACAAGAAAAGATGGTTCACATTATGTGATGGCTTCAGGGGCCGATTTTTATGCAAGATGCTCACTCACATCATTAAATAAAAATAGCAGTCTTCTAATAAAAGCCAATATTTAGCCCCGGGAGACTTTTGAGAGTCTAAAGGAATTTCTTGTGCTGCTGCTCTTCCTGTTTCGGTTCCACTAACCAGCACATGAGCATCCAACTCCCTTCTTCCAACCTCACCCAAAATATAGTCCCATGGTAACAGCAGTATGCTGAAATTCAAGAAACAGTACATTTCGGAATGGGGAGGTTGGCCCAAGCTCTAACTTCTATAGTATAAACTGCAATTAGCAAAAGGAGGCTGCAACTTTAAGTAACCGCAGCATTTTGAGAAACATTTCGCTCCAACACTGAGCTGCAGTATTTTCATCCATGTAACTCAAGAATTGACTTTTTTAAAAATACATCATTCTATAGTAGGGAGATTCAACTGGAGGTAATATATTGGGAAGTAATGCTTAAATAAATAGACCTATATAGAAGCCAACTATTTACTAAGATGACAGAATTTCTGGAACTGGTCAGTGTTGTACCTCACTTTTGTCTTGTAAAAAAATTGAACACACTTCCTCTCAATCAAAATCCAATGCACAGTTCAGTTTTGTGGAGCACTGAGTATTATATCTTGCTTCACTTTAACTGCTTTTCATACTTTGCCATTTTGTTACCATTTACATGCAACATCAACTCATTAACCAAAAATAAGGTCAGATCTTCTATTAATAGTGTTCTAATGCCTCCCACAATTTCTCCAGTAGTAGGTCCTAAACTAATTGTTTAAAAGAACATTTCAAATTTTGTTTCATTATTTTTAGTGCTTGTTTGTTTAGTGACCAGATAGTCATCCTATGCAATAGTTCAATCTCACTACTGATAGTTCAAGAAAAATTTTATGGGGATATACTCAACCAAAACTATTGCAGGACTCTTGAGGGAAAAAAAAAAAAAAAAAAGGACTGGTCTGCCACATTACACATTAGTTGTTCCAAATGCAGGAAGTTCAGAAAGGAAGCTGAATGACACTATGGCAGCCAGATGTAATGGAAGTTTACAAATAAAATAACGATGTAGGACTTGACACAAAAAGATATGTCCCCAGTCAACTGGAAGAACAGAGGAGAAAAAGTCTGGTGATACCTGTTTTTTAATTAAAAACTGTTAATGAAACTGAAATTCAAAACGAAAAGGAAATAGACTTCATACAATATAGAGGAGGTGACAGAAGGTTGGAAAAGGTCTTTGTCTATTCATGTAATTAACAACTAATAAGTTTTCTAAAATGCTATAAATCAAGACACATTTCAGGCTACAGCAGTGTATCTTTCAATCACGGCCATTTAACTCTATGCACTTTGCCAAACCACTTACATGTTTTTATCCTTCAAACAACTGTTATGATGATGATTAATTCTCCTTCCAAAAAAAAAAAAAAAAGAGAGAGAGAGAAAAGCTGCCTTACCTTTGCAGAGTCATGTTCAGATTGCCTGTACATGCCTTGATCTTGTTTTGTGCTTCTAGATGAGTCATTCCGTCAGTACTTATCCCATCAATGGTGAGAACCACGTCGCCAATCCCCACGTGTGCTCGGGCTGCCTTTCCACCGTCACTAAGCTGAAATACCATGAAAATGGCAAATGAGAAACTTGTATTCAAGGAATATAAACATAAGTCATTCAGGACCTCAAAAGATTATTTATACACTGTGGTGCTCATAAAAAGGGAAATGGAAAATAAAAAGTTATCATTTCTCCTTTGTGAGGATGTTCCTGTGGAAGTTACAGTATATCTACAATCTTTCTTTCTGGTAAAGCAATATTTATAATTTCTTATTTCATGTGAATGACAGGAAAAGCATTGCACAGCATTATCCATTTTTCAAAACCAAACTCGACTTCTACTTCACTGGCTGACAGCTGTGCAATCACTAAGAGACTGACACAGGGATTGACACACAAGATTTCCTGGACGCTACATTTCAGTTTCTTATCTCTTCACATCAGAAAATTCTCATAGAGGAGAAGAGAGGAAGGTTAAACCATTTTTTTTTTCCATACTAGATTTTCAATGTAAGCCATCTATTCAAAGTTTATGTACTTGTCAATGGCTGCTCATGTGTATGGAAGACGTCATTAGTAGTGAAACTGACTTTTCCCCAGCTGCAAATACTAGAAAGTCAAAAGTTCAACACTGCAGACAGGCCAGTTAGAGGACTTTGTTTTGCCTTGTTCTTGGTGGGTTTATAGTCCCAGCCACCCACAGCACATTCAGAACAGAATAAGAAAGGCCTCTTGAAAAGTTCGTGTCTTTGATCAAGGTCACTGCTGAAGTTCAACTCAGCTGCCTTTGGTCCACTTGAATGAAGCACTTTAACAACAGAAACCTTTATAAAGTTCACATTATTGACCCTGACTGAACAATAAATTAATCTTTTCATTTGAATTCAACTGGTTTAATTAACAACAATACAAATAAAAATAAGGCAACACATAGCAAGATTTATGCGTTGACATACCCATGGTCCTCAATCTGTTGATCACTTTATATCTGGCTACAGAGAGCAGTCCTGTGTGGTGCAAATTCCCTCTTTGTTTCCAGTTGCGTTCCCTCTCCTACAGTCAAGACGCTGTAACTGCTTCTTCAAGGAATTGAGTGCAGCCTCAGTAAGTTTGCAGACAACACCAAACTGGGTGGAAGTGTTGATCTGCCGGAGGGTAAGAAGGCCCTGCAGAGGGACTTGGACAGGTTGGATGGATGGGCAGAGGCCAATGGGATGAGGTTCAAAATGGCTAAGTGCTGGTGCCTGCACTTTGGCCACAACAACCCCATACAGTGCTACAGGACTGGGGAAGAGTGGCTGGAAAGCTGTGCAGAGGAACAGGATCTGGGGGTGCTGGTCAATGCTCACCTGAACATGAGCCAGCAGTGTGCCCAGGTGGCCAAGGAGGCCAACGGCATCCTTGCCTGTGTCAGGAATAGTGCAGCCAGCAGGAGCAGGGAGGTGATCGTCCCCCCTGTACTCTGCCCTGGTGAGGCCACACCTCGAGCACTGTGTTCAACTTTGGGCCCCTCACAGCAAGAAGGGCATCAATGCCCTGGAGCGTGTCCAGAGAAGGGCTACGAAGCTGGTGAAGGGCCTGGAGCACAAGTCCTATGAGGAGCAGCTGAGGGAGCTGGGGTTGTTTGTGTCTGGACGAATCTCAGGGGAGACTTCATTGCCAGGCCTACCTGAAAGGAAGGTGTGGGGAGCTGGGGGTCGGCCTCTTCTCGTGGACAACTAGTAACAGGACTAGAGGGAATGGCCTCAAGTTGCATCAGGGGAGGTTTAGGTCTATGATTCTATGCTTGGAAGCTACACATGCAAAACCTTACAGCTCTTTTTTTTTTTTTTTTTTTTTGCATGCAAGTCTGAGTCTGTTTCTTGAAAAAAAAGTGCTATGTCTTCAGAGAGGTGCTGAAGCGACAAAATTACTTCATCTTGTTTTCCAAAAGCGGAGTTCTCCTTGGGCCAAATCACATAATAGCAAGCGACTTCTCCAGGGAAGGCAGAAGTAAACCTTTCATCCACATTGTCTACAGCCTCTCTTTTAGTGCATCCAGTAGCCACCAAGAAGTTATCCCTTTCAACAATGACCAGCCACAAACTACAATCATCAGTCTCCACAACACTTCTAGAACAATTGAAGTAAGGCTAAATCTTGAAAACAGTCCTTGGCAAAGGGTTAGAGACACGTAGAATACAAGGGACTTCTTGTATTTGTGTATGAACGGTGATATGAGAAGGATGTCACCTGTCAACAGACTTGTGGAAAGTACACCATCAGCCTACCAGATGTGGTTAAGTCTTCCTTAAAAACTCAGGGACAATACAAGACAGCTGTGATATGTATCTGACAGCATCTGAAGACAAACACTTTTGCCTAATACTCAAAATAACAGCCAAAAATTCAAACAAACCCTGAAAAATCCTTCTACCTGGTGTTAATTGTATTTTATCAAATACATTATCTTAGTGAAAGGTAGGAAGACTTGTCATCTTGTCAGATTCAAAATTGCAGTTAGTCCCTCAGCATGGTAGGTGAACACAAATATTTCACCCAGAAGTGAAATTGAATTTTGCTAACAAGTGGAAGGCAGCAGAGCAAACCCCATACAAGGAAGGCAGACAGAAAAAGAAGATGCATTAATTTCAGAAAACTTCTGGGCTTGCTAAATTCATCAGAGTTGCAATTTCTGCGGTGGATCATTTTCCAAGAGACTTCAACAACAAAGCCAAAACTCCTCAAAAAAAATGGAGTTCAGACCCAACTTTTGAGGTAAGAGAGCCAGTTACTATAAAACCCAGGTCAGGAAACCCCAGGAGCACACAGAACACTATGACCAACATAGCTATTTATAGGGAAGATCCTCAAACCTTGGCGGGGGGAAAAAGGCCATAAACAGTTCTCTAAACTGCTACTGACATTTGACAGCAATGTCTGGAAAAGGGAATGGAACGTAAGGGTGTTAAAAGCTAAAGGTCAGAAGGATCACCATGCCTTGTAGTTGGACTGCTGAAGTGAATAAAATCCAGCTTTCTCAGAATATAGGCAAATGAGCACAATCCACATATGATGTAATTAGTGATGAGAAGGCAACCTACAAGCATTCGAGCAGCAAGACTCCAAAAGCAGGCTTCTTACTATTTTCATTGGGGGGTGGGGGGAGTACACCTTCCATACAAGTGTAAAATAAAACAAATAAATAAAACTCACTTTTTACTTATGCAATTCTAGTGGCCAACTCACAAGAAACCAGATGATGTGCCTTTCAAGAAGTCACTCTTAAACTGTTGTCTTCTGGCAATGAAACTCTGCATGCACAAGTGGTAGAAAGGTGTAAAATTTTCAGCAAAACCCCAAGCTGAAATTGCATTAAAAATATGGCTGGTAAGCATGTCCTGAAGATAGGAAAAAGAGCAGACACATCCCAGGAAGCAGGGAGAGCTTCAGGCTGTGTCTGTGAGAGATCTGCCATGCAAGCAGGGGACTGAATCTGCCTTATAGATAGCGAGGGTCACAAACGCAGCTTAATTAACAAATTACTGGACTGTTATTTGAAGAACCATGTATGCAGAGAGATGCCAGAGCAGTAATCTCCTTATCTTTATATAGCGGATAAAACTTCCAAGTAACACCTACAGATTTGGGGATAAGAGATCTGACTAATGAAGGGAGGTGAGGTTGGTACTTCTAGGAAATCTCATCGCCAGCACGAGTCTTCCCTGGCAGTGCCGGCCAGCATCCCTGCTTCATGAAGCAGCTGTAACAAGCTAGTGGTACAGCTACAGGGCACAGTTTTATGGCAGATACTGGAAAGAGCAATACAATCAGAGCAACAGATACATAAAAATAATTTAAAATAAGCACACGCTGAACACAGCAGTAGGAATTTGAACACTGAAATAATTTAGATCACTTTCCCCACTGCAGATAAATTTCTATGCCCAGGAACCTTGGTTTTGACATTTCTTAGGTTCTCTAACTGTGTGCTATCATTACAAACAACAAGTTTATATACATACTGGGGATTGTATGTACAGCTGTTTATATATTTGAACCAAAAATAAAAGAAAGGATCCCCATATTCCTTATCACAGTGGAAACTAACTCCATTGATTTCACTTTTTTTTCCACCCACGTCCTGAAAAATCCAAGAGATAGAGAAGCTTAAAAAAAAAAAAAAAGTAGGTGCCATTGTTAAAAATTATAAAACAGGCTACCTGTGAGTCAAACTAATTTCTAAGCAGCAGAAATATTCTTGAAATCCTTGATGTATCTGTTTTAATTCTGTACTTGCAGTATGAGGAAAGTTTTTTTAAATCAAGAATGAATTACAGCTACTTTTTTTTTTTTTTTTGATGTTACGCAGCAGACTTCTAAAACCACAAAATTGCCAAACCAAAAACATTTCCTCCTACTTAGTTGCATGTCTATATTTTCTGGGAAGCTCATTTTGAGACAGAGAGGGAGGCAAGCAGGAGAGACATTTCATGATCAGGCACCTGCTGAGACCAATCACTCCCACAGTCCCCAGCAGCAAACCTCTTCTCATCCCTCAGCAGCCATCAGCTTCATGGCTGAAAGCCAAAATCCAGTCTGTGCCATCCAGAGACACTCAGGACGCTTTCTAATAAACACTTATAAAATCACCCATCTAATAATAGACTTGAGTTTTATTTGAACCCAATTTTTTTACTGCTGTTTTTTTTAAACGTCAGAATTCCAGAACTGCAAATATTGCTCAAAAATACATTCCAAATGTAGATAAAACAAAAATAAACTAGTTCTTGTTCCAGGATGAACTTCGAAGGCAACAGTACGAAACAATCCCAGCACAGTTCTACCCCCCAGATTTTTGAAAGCAAATGGACCAAAACATACTGCAATATGACCGCTTTGTTGGGCTAAATTTTAGCTAGCCTATCATTTCACTTTGCAATAAGCAGCATAAAGAAATAAAAACATTTACTTTCCATTTTCACAAGGTATTTTAATAGATTCTTTCTAGGGAAATTGTGTGTGCACATACATGCACACCTATCTCTGAATCAATGCAATTTGTAGCTTAACTCA